TGTAGCTCCATCATGATGAGAAACATATGCCTCTGACGAAGCCATCATCTCAGTCATCTCCTGAAATTAGGCAAACACAAGAAAGTCCACCCTCACAAGAATCTGGCTGATTTCCTTCCCTTGTAATTACTCAATTAGTTTGATTGTGTTGATATACTTTCTGTAAATGGGACTGTGTGGTCCACGCTTGTAATTATATATATAAATGAATACCATGACTGACAGATCAGTCAAGAATTCTAGCATAGAACCTTTCTTGCCGTAACATTCTAAAACCTCAGTGGTCCATATTTCTTTATGGTACCAGAGCCCTAAAAGGGCTAACACCCAAACAGTCGATCCTATTCTTTCCTTCCGCTAACCATCAATGGCAAACCCTGATAACTCGGCTCTCTCCTCCGCTGCATCTGGTGCATCTCGAACCTCTGACAGTCTGACTCAATCTGCCATGGCGGGCTTCACTTCTGCTCTTCCTACCTCCTTCAATATATCTAATCTCTTCAACACACCAATGGATCACACAAATTTTCTTAGTTGGAAGTCACAATTAGAGGATGTTCTCGAACTTCATGATCTTGGTATTATTGTTAAACTTGAAGATAAACCTGCCAAGAACTTATCTGATGGCTCACTCAATCCTCTCTACGCGAAAGACAAGCTAGTGCTCAGTTGGATCAAGGCCACAGCATCTCCCTCAATAAAGACTCTTCTCATTCCATGTTCGACTGCCTTCGAAGCCTGGATTCTTCTCGAAAAGAGGCTCTCTCCTCTCTCTAAGACTCATGTAAGAACCCTTAGGGACCAAATTTGTACCCTCAAAAGGACTCCGGATCAACAAATGTCTGATTATCTTATACATGCCCGGTCACTTTTTGACTCTCTTGCATCCGCTGGAACATCGATGACAGACAGCGAACTAATTGAATATATATTGGATGGTCTGGGTCATGAGTATAAAGAGTTCACCACTTCCCTTCATCTTCGTCAAACTCTCACTTTTGATGAATTTTTTGATCTACTCCTTCAAGAGGAACAACTCCAGAAAAGAATGGAAGCACTTTCATTATTAAACGGAGTTGCACTTGCCACAGATCGGGTAGCCCAGAATCATCCACACAACAGGCCTCAAACCAACAACTACAAGGGACACGGACGCGGATGCGGACGTGGACGTGGTCGTGGTCGTGGTCGTAACTGGAACAATGGGCGTGACAACTTTGACCACCGTGAATATGGAACAACCATAATGGTGGCAATCAATGGGCGCAAAATAATAATGCAAATGGCATCTTGTATTATGGAAACCCACGACATAATCCAATTTCACCGGATAATAGTCCACCGCTGCTCCCGACACCGTCAAATCCCTCTGCATTTCAGTTCGATGTCCCTTGCCAACAATGTGGAAAGGATGGTCATAATTCTCGTGTTTGCCCTCAATGAGGCAACTATGCCTACACGGCTGATCACTCTGGTGCTATCTCAGACCCAATTGATTGGTGTTTTGACTCCGGAGCAACCCACCACATGGTTTCTGATCCTCGTGCACTCACCAACGTGCAACCTTATGCAGGTATTGATTCTATCATTGTTGGTAACGGGTCTCACCTTTCTATTATGTATATTGGGGATGGAAAGCTATGCACACCATCGAGTTCATTGCATCTTAAAGAGGACTTATGTGTTCCAGCCATTCGGAAAAATCTATTATCTATTCGAAGATTTTGTCATGATAATGATTGTTATTTCATCATGAATGCTTATGGTTTTTGTGTCAAGGGCAACAAGACGGGGAAGGTTCTTCTAGTTGGCAGTAGCTTCAATGGTCTCTATCACATCCGTGCAGCCCCAAAAGTGACAGAGAAAATAGTTTTCTATGGGGAAAAGACGATTCAGGACGTTTGGCATACTCGCCTTGGACACCCGTCTTATCATGTATTTCGGATGATTTTGAATAAACACCATTTACCTATTAGTGGTGAGATTGATTCTAATAAAACTTGCCATGTTTGTCCCATGGGAAAATCTTGCAGATTACCTTTCTCTAATCGCACTTCTCATACACAAAAACCTTTAGAATTATTGCACTTGGATCTTTGGGGACCGGCACCTGTTTTGTCAAACTTTGGATATAGATTTTATCTCTCCATTGTGGACGATCACACCCCTTACGTATGGCTGTATCCATTACTCAAAAAATCCGATGTGCTTGCCACCTTTATTGGGTTTAAAAAGATAATTGAAAATCGACCCAATTTAAATATCAAAATGGTGCAAATGGATGGTGGTGGTGAATTCACAAGTCGGTTATTCATGCAATTTCTTCGTGATAATGGGATTGGGCATCAAATCTCTTGTCCTTATACACCTCAACAAAATGGCGTCGTCGAAAGAAAACATCGCCACATTGTTGAAAAAGGGTTGTGTTTATTGACTCAATCTCCACTTCCATCAAGTTATTGGGCTGAAGCTTTTTCTACTTCCGTCTATCTTATTAATCGGCTGCCAACCGTGAATCTTGCCAACATATCTCCATATGAGAAACTTTTTCAGCATCCTCCTGATTATAAGATGCTCAAAGCATTTGGTTATGCATGTTTCCCACACTTGGTGGCATATAACAAGCACAAACTTATGCCTAAGTCAGTAAAATGTGTGTTCATTGGTTATGATTTACATTACAAGGGTTATCGATGTTAGATCCCATCACAGGTCGTGTTTATATTTCACGAAATGTAACCTTTGATGAACTCACATTCCCTTTTTCTGAGCTTACATCCAGGAACAAGGAAGCTGCTCCATTCTCCTTGCCGACACCAGCCCCAGTCCTCATTGAGCCAATTGCTCCTCTTTCAAGTCTGGTGCACACTCCTCATATGGCAGAACCTAATATGCCAACAACTCCTAATATGGCAGCACCTCCAACTATGGCAACATCTCCTCAAATGGTAACTTCTCTTGACACAGCAACAACTCCCAATATGGCAACAACTCCCCATGTTACAGCAGCCATTTCACCACTATCATCGCCTATTTCAGCAACATCCACAGCACCACCAGCTTCTCCTGATCACTCTCCAGGTCATAACAAATTTTGCAGCATCAATTCACTTATTTATAGCATTTCTCCACATCCATTGCCTCATGCCTTAGCTGCCATTTTGAATGATCCACTTTCTCATGAACCTTCAAGTTATTCTTAGGCTGCCAAGCACACACATTGGCAACATGCTATGCAAGTTGAATATGACGCTCTCATGCACAATCATACTTGGTCCCTCGTGCCCTATTCACTATCTATGAATGTCATTGGGTGTAAGTGGGTCTTCAAAGTGAAAAGGAAAGCGGATGGTTCTATCGAAAGGCATAAAGCACAGTTAGTTGCCAAGGGGTTCAATCAACAAGAAGGTTTGGACTACGACGAAACGTTTAGTCCCGTTGTCAAACCTGCAACTATTCGCACAATACTCTCTTTAGCCGTCTCATTTGGTTGGACACTCCAACAGTTGGACGTTCGCAATGCTTTTCTCAACGGCATACTACAGGAGGAAGTCTATATGAAGCAACCACCCGGGTTTTTTGATCCTAGCTGTCCCAAATATGTGTGCAAACTCCATAAAGCTCTTTATGGCCTTAAACAAGCCCCTTGTGCTTGGTTTCAGCGACTCACTTCATTTTTACTCACCCAGGGATTTTTCCATAGCCACTCTAATGCCTCATTATTTATTCGTCATGGTTCCCAATCCTCTATTTTTGTGCTTATCTATGTCGACGATATCATAATCACAGGCCATAATGCCACGGAAATCTCTTCCTTTATTGATGTGTTGTGCTCCAAGTTCGATAGTCGCCGGATGGGTGATCTTAGTTTCTTCCTTGGACTAGAGATTAATCGTACCTCTACTACGATTTCTCTTTGTCAAATGCAATATGCACTTGATCTTCTCAAGAAGTTTCATATGGAGTCATGCAAACCGAGTCCCACACCCTTGAGTTCCTCTACTCGACTCTCTTCCTTAGACGGTGACCCTTTAACTAATCCGTCTACTTATCAGAGTATTGTTGGTGGCTTACAATATCTTACACTTTCTCGACCCGACATAGTTTATGCAGTCAACCAAGTGTGTCAATTTATGCATGCTCCACGCACGACACATCTACAAAGTGCAAAACGTATTCTCCGCTATGTTAAAGGTACTCTCTCTCATGGTCTTCTTTTTCATAAGGCACGCCATTTCAACCTTTATGGTTTCTCGGACTCCGATTGGGCTGGGAGTGTTGGTGATCGTCGCTCTACCACTGGTGCGTGCATCTTTCTTGGACCTAATCTTCTTACATGGACTGCCAAAAAGCAATGGACTGCCAAAAAGCAATCTATTGTCTCAAGGTCTAGCACGGAGGCTGAATATTGTGCCCTTGCTACTACGGCAGCTGAAATTCGTTGGTTCTGCTACTTATTTCGTGAACTTGGCATCGCCTTGCGTGTACCTCCTTGCATTTTTGTTGACAACATGTCTGCTCTTCATATTGCTGCGAACCCTATCTTTCACGCAAGGACTAGACACATCGAAATTGACTATCACTTTGTTAGGGAGCTGCTCAACTTTGGTGTCCTTCGCACTCACTACGTCCCATCTGCACATCAACTTGCCGATACTAAGGGACTCACTCGTGAACGATTTCATTCTTTAGTTCCCAAGCTCAAGCTCCACTACGTTTCATCTCGTTTGGGGGGGGGGGGGGGTGATGAGAAACATATGCCTCTGACGAAGCCATCATCTCAGTCATCTCCTGAAATTAGGCAAACACAAGAAAGTCCGCCCTCACAAGAATCTGGCTGATTTCCTTCCCTTGTAATTACTCAATTAGTTTGATTGTGTTGATATACTTTCTGTAAATGGGACTGTGTGGTCCACGCTTGTAATTATATATATAAATGAATACCATGATTGACAGATCAGTCAAGAATTCCAGCATAGAACCTTTCTTGCCGTAACATTCTAAAACCTCAGTGGTCCATATTTCTTTACATCAATCTCATATTTCTGAATTAGCCACTCTAAGCCTCCAACTTTGTCAACAAGTTTGATTGCCTCTTCGGTATGTGGGGTGGCCAGTTCCATAAAGTACACTGTTATCTGCATTAGCATGTCCAAAAAAATATGTGATAATTCAAGGATGGTTTATCATTAATTACAAAACAAAGAACAAATATACATAAAACCCGAAAATATAAACTTCAAGCATTTAGGTTACACACATTAACACATCCTTGTGAATGCTGTATTCAAATGATTGAGAGCAATGCCAAACATACCTCCTGAACAAACCTATAGAGGAAAATGATGCGGACAGCAGAAAGTTGGCCACACAAACTGTAAACATATCCTTCATAGTCATCATCTTCAGCACTAAATTTGAACTGCAAAACAAATAAAAAAGATTAAATTCTCATAACGAAAGAAATATCACAGTAAAAGAAAATCATCTCTGCAATGCAATAGCTGATAATTGATGTTATTTGTACCTTGATAAGGGATTCAACACTTCGATTACGTATATTACAAAGCCAATCGCAACAGTGATCTGCTCCAAGAGACATATCACGGAGTCTAAAATTTCCTAGGGTGCCTTCAATGGAAAGAGAACTCGGGTGGACCTTAACAAACAAACAGCTCAAGTCAGTAACATAGCTATTTGATACCCAAAATATCAAGTCTGAAACTACACACAGTAGTAAATTTCAACCAACACATCGAAATAATCGTTAATCACAATATTCCCATCACCTTGAGATCCAGCAGGAAACTTTCTTGCACAAACATCGCAAACGAAGAGCCATCCTCTTTGTTAAGAAACACAGTCGCATTGTCAACATTCATGGTTAAATAAAATACTACACGACCTTTACCATAACCCAGCAACCCTTTGACACGCCCATTTTCTTCAGTCTTTTCTTTGTTCATAAAATGTTTATCATCTGGAACCTTAGTCGTGTTTGCACTAACTTCCACGTCATACACAGAGCTTAAATCCAGGCCGAAATCAATCAAAGCAACAAGAGTGGGTCTGTTGCAAAAGAACTCCAATTTGGACATGCGGAGATTCATCTGAAAAAAAATATCAGTACAAAGCATCAGCACTGAAGATTGAGATTCTTCTATTTGAAATAAACACAGGTTTCATTAATTTAGTTTTGCATTGCAAATAAAACCAATATAACAAAGATCCAGGACTATAACTAAAATCCACTGCCCATGTCGGTAGTACCTGGGTGTCAACACCATCATAATCAGGCGAGCTAGACCTCCGAGTCAAGAAGGTAACAGATACAAAATTTGAATTATCACCGCACTCCGCCTCATAAAATGTCTCACCAGAAATTACCTTATCCTTAACCAATTTTTTTTCATGAATTATGGCCTGTGGAGATGCAAATCCAGTTTCATCATTGATGTCCTCAGTGGTTGCACATGCATCCATATCCATTATCTGTGAACCTAAGCCTGTATCTGAGATAGACATAAAATCTGGCAAAGCATCATCATCCTCATGAAGCAAAGCGGACATTTCTTTCTTGATTAGTAGATTTTATATTATATATTTAACCATATTCTTAGTATATTTTAGTTAATATTTTGGAAGAATTTTGAATTGTATTTTTAATATAGGACTTTCGACTTCCTCTGAAGCAAAACGTGGTCAAATAGATGAATTTTGGAGTGATTCTAGCTACAGGATGTTTGTGTGTCACTTAGCTTGATCGTGTCAAAATATCAGATTTTTCCACCTAGTGGTTGTTTTCTAGCAATAAAATAAAGGAGCGATGTGCAGTGCTGGAATAATGACGTTTTGTACTTGAATTGCGTTTTTGGGGCCCAAGATAACCTCAGATGGGTTTGTGGCCTTCTGGAGATGTGTTCAGAACGTCCTAATCTTTAAAAAAAGCTATTTTGGGCTGGATTTGGAGGACATTTGAGTCCAAAACGTGGCTGTACAGTTACCTGGCAGATTTTCCTAGTTTAATTAAGATTTTATTTTCTAAGATATTTTATTATTATTTAGTTTCCTAGTTGGAATAAGAGACCTATGTTTTAGGGTTTGTGTGATGGCTTAGCAAATATATTGCTTGGCTGTTCTTAGTTTTTTTCTACGCTTTCTTTTATGCAACTTTGGAGACAGAGAGTAATTGCTGGGGTTCTTGAAGATTTTCTAATTCAAGGTGTTTTCATTCTTATTCATTCTAATAATATTTTCTATGATTTCAATTATGCATATGTGTAACTAATTCTTTTTGTTAGGGTGAAACCTTGAGCCTTAGCATGAATATCTGATTTTTATTTAATTGCTTATGATTGATTGCATGCATACTTTAAATTATTGATCACCGTGATTGAAACTATCTAATTGTCTTAATGCCTGATCACCATTATGATCTTTAGAAAAGTAATTTGAAGCAATTTTGGTCGGAAGGTTCAAGGCTTCACGATAATCAATAAGACAATTAGATCCTCCATTACCATCATTGTGTAGAAACTGTCCCAAAATATGTTTATGAGCGTGTTTATAATCCTCCATTACCATATCCTGAGCGTTTAATTCCTAAAGCAAGAGATCAACAGCTTAAAGATTTTATGCAAACATTGTCCAAGGTTCAAATCAACATTCCATTGCTGGAGGCAATCAAGAAAATCCCATCTTAAGCTAAATTTTTAAAAGAAGTTTGCAGCACCAAAAAGAAGCTTGCATATTTGGACAAGGTTGTGTTGACAGAACAGTGCAGTGCGGTTTTGTTACACAAATGCCACCTCAGAAAAAAAGACCCAGGGAGTTTTAATATTTCTTGTACTATTGGAAATTCAGATTTTAAGAATGCTTTAATTAATTTAGGTGCAAGTATTAATTTAATGCCATTTCTATTTTCCAGCGATTGGGACAAGGAGACTTAAAGCCAACATCAATTATTCTTCAGCTTGCTGACCGTTTAGTGACTTATCCTAGGGGCATTATTGAAGATCTCATCATCAAGGTTGACAATCTTTATTTACCGGCAGATTTTGTGGTTTTAGACATGGATGGAGACATAAAAACGCCCATAATTTTGGGAAGACTGTTTATGGCTACAACTAGGACTTTAATTGATGTGGAAGCCAGAACACTAACTTTACGAGTTCAAGACCAAGATGTTGTATTTAATTTGTTTGAGGCAACAAAACACCCTGCTGAACAGCAAGAGTGTATGTGCATTGATGTGTTAGACAGGGTGGTTCAAAGCAGTTTTCAGGCTAATTCAGATTCAGATCAGTTGCTGCAGGTTTTACATGAGGAAATTAGGATATATTTTGAAGATGAAGGGGTTATTGACTATATTTATGCATTGGACAGTCTACCCGCACAGTTGCCAAGGTTTAGGAATATTTATGAGAGCTTAGGGGAGCCTAAACAGCCCCTTCAGCCATCCAGACAGCAGCCACCAAAATTGGAGGTGAAGCCTTTGCCAGAACATTTAAAATATGCACATTTAGGGGTTGCAGAAACACTGCCAGTTATTGTTGCAGCTGATTTGACTCCTACAGAGGAAGATAAATTGCTTCGTGTTTTGAGAAAAATATCAATATGCTTTGGGATGGACAATAGTTGACATCAAAGGTATTAGCCTAGCAATTTGTATGCACAGAATTTTAATGGAAGAAGACGTTAATCCAATAGTGGATGCTCAACGCCGCCTAAATCAAATTATGAAAGAAGTTGTCAGAACAAAAATTATGAAATTACTTGATGCTGGTATGATTTATCCTATTTCAGATAGCCAATGGGTAAGTCCTACGCAGGTTGTGCCTAAACGTACCGAAATTACAATGATTAAAAATGACAACAATGAGCTTGTTCCTACACGCTTAACTACAAGTTGGCGCATGTGTGTGGATTATAGGAAACCAAATGCGGCTATAAGAAAAGATCATTTTCCATTACCATTTACTGACCAAATGTTAGAAAGATTGGCGCAGGGCTTTTTATTGTTTCTTAGATGGTTATTCTAGGTACAATCAGATCCCAATTGCACCAGAATATCATGAGAAGACAACTTTCACATGCCCATTCGGGATGTTTGCTTATCGAAGAATGCCATTTGAATTCTGCAACGTACCAGCCACATTTCAGCGATGTATGATGAGTATTTTTTCTGGCTTGGTTGAAAACATTGTGGAAGTTTTTATGGATGATTTTTCTGTGTTTGGTGATTCATTTGATTAGTGCTTGAAGAATTTATCATTAGTTCTTGAAAGATGTCAAAAGACAAATTTAGTGCTAAATTGGGAAATGTGTCATTTTATGGTGAAACAAGGCATTGTTTTGGGTCATTCGATTTCCAGCAAAGGCATTGAAGTTGATAAAGCCAAGATTGATGTCATTGCAAAGCTACCACCCCCTACTTCAGTAAAAGGTGTTGGATCATTCTTGGGACATGCAGGATTTTATCATCGGTTCATCAAGGATTTCTCCAAGATTACCCGTCCTTTGTGCAATTTATTAGCTAAAGATGCACCATTTAATTTTGATGAGGCTTGCTTAGAAGCGTTCAACAAGTTGAAATCACTCCTCACTTCAGCACCCATAATTGTTGCACCAGATTGGGGTTTACCATTTGAATTAATGTGTGATGCTTCAGATTATGTCGTTAGGGTTGTTTTAGGGCAGCGTAAAGACAAGCTTCCCCATGTCATTTATTATGCAAGTCGTACTCTCAATGATGCACAACTCAACTATGCAACCACAGAAAAGGAATTGTTGGTAGTTGTTTTTGCATTAGAGAAGTTTCGGTCTTATTTGGTTGGGGCTAAAGTAATTGTGTATACTGATCATGCTGCTCTTAAATACTTGTTGTCTAAAAAGGATGCAAAGCCTAGGCTGATTCGTTGGGTTCTTTTTCTTCAAGAATTTGACTTAGAGATTAAAGACAAGAAGGGTAGTGAAAATGTGGTGGCTGACCATTTATCCAGATTAATTATTCCAGCAGCTACGAAGGAAGATTCTCTACCATTGAGTGAAAGTTTCCCAGATGAACAACTATTTGCTGTACAAATTAAATCACCTTGGTTTGCTGATATTGTCAATTCTTTGGCTAAGGGTGTGGTGCATCCAGATTTTTCGTTTCAGCAGAAAAAGAAGTTTTATCTGATGTAAAGCATTATTTATGGGATGAACCATACTTATATAAGTATTGTCCAAACCAAATTATTCGCAAGTGTATTCCTGAGGCTGAACAGGAAAGTATTTGAAATTTGCTCATCATTATGCATGTAGGGGGCATTTTGGGCAGAAAAGGACAGCAGAGAAAATTCTGCAAAGTGGGTTATTTTGGCCTACACTTTTTAAAGATGCTTATAATTGGTGCAAGGCTTGTGACAGGTGTCAAAGGGTTGGCAACCAGTCCAAAATGAATGAGATGCCCTAGCAAAGTATTCTAATTGTTGAATTATTTGATGTTTGGGGTATTGATTTCATGGGACCATTCTCATCTTCTAATGGGAACCAATATATTTTAGTTGCTGTGGAATACGTTTCTAAGTGGGTCGAGGGCATTGTAGCACCAACTAATCAAGGATCAGTGGTCCTGAAGTTCCTCCAAGGGGTTATATTTCCACGTTTTGGAATTCCGCGCGTTATTCTTAGTGATGGGGAGAAACATTTTATTAATAAATAGTTTGATAATTTACTGGCAATGTATGGGATTACTCATCGTGTGGCTACACCTTATCATCCACAGACATCTGGTCAAGTGGAAGTTTTAAACAGAGAATTAAAGCACATTTTGGAGAAAATAGTTGGTTCTACATTTAAAGATTGGAGTTTAAAATTAAATGATGCTTTGTGGGCTTACAGGACAACTTATAAAACTCTTATTGGGATGTCACCATTTCGACTCATTTATGGGAAAGCATGTCATCTACCTATGGAGCTTGAGCATAAGGCTTACTGGGCAATTAAAGAGTTAATTTTTTCGTATGATTCAACTGGGGAACAACGAAAATTGCAGCTCAATGAGCTGGAGGAAATTCGTCAGGCTGCTTATGAAAGTTCTCGCATCTACAAGGAAAGAACTAAGGCGTTTCAT